AGCCATTCTTTGTGGGGTGAGGTGGAATCTCAGTGTTGTTTTCATCTGCATCTCTCGAATGACCAGTGATGTTGAACATTCTTTCATATATTTATTTACTGCTTTTACTTCTTTGTCTGAGAAATGTCTGTTCATTTCAGATGCCTTTTGGTATTTTTATTGAGACAGGGTCTTGCTATGTAGTTCAGGCTGGCCTTGAACCAGTCCTGGGATCACAAGTGTGCTGCACCATCATGTCCAGCTGGTGGTACTATTTAGACTCAGATTTAAAAAAAAATTTTTTTTTGGTACCGGGGATTGAACTTGGGCCCTTGAGCTTTCCAGACAGGCAGCAGAACCACTGAGCTAAATCCCAAGGCCAAAGTTTTGTGTATTTTTTTTTGGTACCAGGGATCGAACTCGGGACCTTGCGCTTGTGCGGCAGGAAACCACTGAGCTAAATCCCCCGCCCAAGGCCTTTGAAAAGACATTACATTTATCTTGGGGAGTTGGTACATATACATTACACATCTTAATTATTTTTATTTCCCCTTACCCTCTTCCTCTCTCCTGGTTGTGTTAGTTTTGTTGTTGTTGTTTGTTTGTTTGTTTGTGTTCTTGGTCTGTAATTCAGGCTGGCCTTGAACTCACTGTGTAGCCGACTGGCCTCGAACTCATGGAACTCATGGTGATCTCGTACCTCAGCCACCTCAGAGTTGAGATTACAGGAGTATGCCACCACACCTGGGTTATTATTTTTATTTTTAAACAGGGTCTCATTAAATTGCTCATACTAGGCTTGAATTTGCCAATTTCCTGCCTAGCTTCCTGTATAGCTAGAATTATGCTACGGTGCTCATTTGGCAAAATAGCTTCTTCTTCTACTTTTTTTTTTTTTTTTGGTACCAGGGATGGTACTCAAGACATTTTGCTTGCCAGGCAGGTGCAGCGCAAGCAGAGCTAAATCCCTGGCCTAATAGCTTCTCTTTCTTTTTCTTTTTTTTCTTTCTCTTTCTTTTTTATTTTTCTTTTTAATTCTTTCTTTCTTTCTTTCCTTCTCTTTCTTTCTTTCTTTCCTTCTTTCTCTTTCTTTCTTTCTTTCTTTCTTTTCCTTCCTTCCTTCCTTCCTTCCTTCCTTCCTTTCTTTCTTGGTTTCAGAAATCAAACTCTGGATCTTGTGCTTTGGAGGCAGGAGGCAGAATCACTGAGCTAAATCCCCGGCTGAGCTTCTATTTCTTAAACTAAAGTTGCATATTTTGCCAGGTGTGGTGGCACATGTCTGTAATCCTACCACTCCTGAGGCTGAGGCAGGAGGATCACTGTGAGTTCAAGGCTAGCCTGGGCTACATAGTAAGTTCAAACTCAGCCTGAACTACTAAGCTAGACCTTGTCTCAAAAAAAAGAAAAAATTTGCAGATTTTGTTGCAAGTAGCAGATGATTTGTGACACATTTTGCAACTGTAGAGGTAGTATATTTTTGGTCAATCTCTGGAATATGATTTGTAATCTCTGTCAGAATTATAAATGGTTATACCACTGTGGCCCAGGTTCACATTTCAGAGAATTTCTACTACTTTTTTTTTTTTTTTT